CCCTTGAAGTCGTAGGATAGACGCCTAATTGATTAATTCTTGCCCCTAATTTAGTGCATAAAGTGCATAAAGGGGCAGCACAGTCTTAAAAAAATCATGCGGGTTTGTTTCCACACACTGAATTATGCATAGGTGCTTAGAAAAGCTGCAATCGGGGCGCCAGATTGGATTTTTTGGGTGTGGGAGGGGTGATAACGCATTCGGCAACGGCGTTGAATCCTTTCTCTCTTTTACTCGGCGTTCTAAGCCACAGTCGTGATAAGGGAAAGGGCCGCAGACCTGTGTCTGAGGTTCCCCTTTCCAGAATGTTAGCGACCCGACAGGCTTCAATACCGCGGATGCGTTTTTAAATGATGTGGCAGCCCCAGCCCGTTTGATAGTGCGGATATGATGGACAGGGTACATCGTGATGTGTGAAACGGCGATGTCCCCCCCCGTTTCCTTATCTGTTACTCTACCACGACCACCCTTCTCTATCCTACCTTTCCTCTTCCGTGAGACGGACAAGAGAATCGTAAACTGTCGCGTCGCCGCAACGCGACGTGTCGTGCGGCGATGCGCGGCAAGTTCTCGATGCGCATTTATTAGGTTGTTGCGGAAGGATCAAAAAAAGGGGGGGAACTTGTGCAACAACCTAAATATGTCAATTGGAGCAGCAAACTTCGCACGAATTTCAGCGGGACAAAGCTCCATCGGGAGGGTTTTCCAGAGTTACCCTTCTCAACAGAAATACAGCTGGAGGACAGCTCGTCCACTGGGAGCGGCGCCGCTCACCACACCCACCGGTGCGGCATATTACGATTGTCTTGTCACATGCTCCCAAATTCCTTCCTTAACCTAATTTCCTACCACTATTTCCCAGATTTTCACAGATTTTCCTTGTTTCCCCCAGAAAACTGGGAGAGAGAGAGAGGCAGAGGGGGTGGTCGGTACAATCTGCTACAGTTTTACTAACTCCATAAGCAGTAGTTGTACGGTAGGTCTGCGGTGCCGGCAACGTTATTACATCTAGGATGGCTCACAAGAAGTTCGTAAACATTTTATTATAAAATAACAAATAAAAAACCCTTGTATTGAAAACAACAATACTAAAGAGAGAAATTAGTGGTTTTATGGTAACATCCTAGTACAAACAGGTGATACAACAAGACCCACAATGTAGAGAATCGTCTGCGTTCCCGTCGTCAAAGTACAATAAGGTGAGGACTTTATTATGGCCTTATTGAGAGGGAAACCCACCATTAGTTTGAATCCCGTTGAACAAAACAGCTTTCTCTAGAAACACGTCATAATCCCGCTATTCCACGCTCAATCTCTGCTCCTAGGCATTCTAACCGTTCCCAGAAACCCATCTTCTCTCTCCTCCTCCTATCATGGTCTAGCCGCTTACTTACCATGGTCTAGCCAAGCGGGCGGCGACGGCCAAAAAAAGCGTGCTCAGTTGCTGCTGGCTACCCTTCCCAATTTCATTGGCATCGAAAATTTCAGTAATTTTATGTCTCACCAATAGAAGTATTTTGCCGAAGCAAACCATTTTGGGAAGATTCCCTCTCAATTTGAGGACAGTAATAAAGTCAAATTAGATTTAGATCTATAAGGAGCTACACTGCACTTTCCTACTCAATTAACATCTGGTCGTTTCCTTGATTTGTTTGAGAAACTGCTGTCAGTGCTTCGATTCCGATACCTCTGAAAGGATTCCCTTCGATAGATTTTGCTCGAATTACCGAGAATAATTTTGGTCTACTCTATCAGTTCACGTCCCGGACAGACACGATGGTCAAAGCCGCACGCGGTTGCGGGGCGGTCTGGTTAGTCAGACCCGAGTAAACTTCAATTAAGTGTCTATTCAAATCATGCTGTGGGGCATATCCATTGTGCTAGTTAGAAAGCTCCTGTCGTGGCAGTGCGGTAGAAGTTACGTTGGAAGTATTGCCATGTGGCGGCATTCGCTCAAGGATCCACTCAGTTCAACAATGAAGTAGTATAGATCGAGTTAACTGGCTAGGAAATACTGGCTAGTGTGCACGCGTCACGACAGCATAGGCCTTCCACTGACACCCAAGATCACTTCGTTCTAAATGTTTTCGAGTCTAGGCTTTGGGTAAGACGGAGCGAGCAGGTGTCAGGAGGCATGGACGCGGAACGGGCACCCTTGGCGCGTTGTACCACTGGTTGTTTTCTACCTGAACCAGTCACTACTGGTGGAAAACGCGGCCGCTATGAGCTCTCCACGCCTCTTGATACCGCCTTACCTGATTGCGGGGTTATCATCTGTGCTGAACTTGATGTTACTTCACCCATCCGGGATCTCCGCCCCTAGAGATCTGGGTCAAAGTCCCCATCGCTATAACGTTGATCTCAGTTTTGTGGAAGAGGTCTTTTGAATGATCCCATCCTCGCGCTCTTAGCGCAGTTGCTAACCGAACCAATTTAGGCACTGATTTTATAGGAAGGAGACAGAATTTTCAGGTGCAGTCGCAAAAACCAGCTCTGTGAGGGTCACGCCCCGACCCGCAACCTTGATGTTCTCCACGTGTTTCTTTGAGAAAACATTCTTAAGAGCATCTCACCTGCGGATGAAATCCCTCTGCTCGTTGACCACGTTGCTCAGGCGCCGATGTAGGCGTGGGAGCAGAGACAGCAGTAGGAACAGGTACTGGAGCAGGCACAGGAGTAGGAACGGGAGCAGAAACAGGTGCAGGCACAGGAGCTGGTACAGGAGCAGGCACAGGTGCCGGAAACGATGCTCCCAGTGGATTCCCATCCATCATTGGTAAAAACGGTGGCAGCTGAGCTGCCAGTGGATGTTGCATTTGATGATGCAGTTGATGCATATGGAAATGGTAGTCGTACATCATTTTCTGAGGTGGTGGCAGGAATGGTCCATAAAATGGGAGGGGGGGTGGGCGTGGGGGGCGATGCGGGGGGAAACGGGAGGGAGGTGGATGCGGGCTGGGGGGGTACGGGCGATGCGGCGCCTGGGGGGGAGTGGGAAATAGAGCCGTGACGAGGGTAGTAATATAGCGTGCGCTGGGGGGCATTTCAGCAATGGGGCGCGCGGTCAGGAGGGGATTTTGGGGTGTGTGGGAGGGCGTTGGGGACGCAGCAGCGGTGTTGGGAGCGACAGGTCTGGTTGGAGGAGGTAGGGCTAGGTGTGGGGCGGGGGGGCAGTGTTCGGGGAGAGGCGGGGGGGGAGCTGAGTCCTGTGGAGCTCACAAGTTTCATCGACTGTTGTTTGCTTCCACCTCTCCAACGACTGGGGGAGAACGGGCTGGCGCCTCGCCGAACCCAGCCACCTTGACACGCCTCAGCAACGAACAACACTATATATTCGTTAGGATATGGGACTTTACATCCATGTCGCGGCGACGCTACATCCATGTCGCGGCGACGCGGTGAAGGCGCTGCTGCAAGCGGAGTAGCGCAATCACAGGCATGGCGTTCGCAGTCCGACCTAATTCACCTAAAGAAAAAAGAGTTGTTGTGCCTCGAGTCCTTAAGTTAGGAACGGTTTGAGTGCATCGGTACAAGGTGGATCAAGCGCCCGTACCCTAACCGTGGCACACCACAAAGTGCTAGTCCCACCCATCTCCGGACGAGTTGTCCCTGGCACAACACTCCGCTGCCCTTTTGCAGTTTGGTCTCAGCTTGTCCCGTTCCTGCTGCCAGTTACTTTTGTAACGTATACTTTTTCACAAAGAACTCAGGCATGTCGTCTGTTTCACGAGATTTTGAGCATGTCCGCGATAGAAAAAAGCGGATTAGCGAGCAGCAGCAAAGCCGGGCGCGTGACGGCCAAAAAAAGAGTTGCTTGCAGTTGCCGTCTGGCTACCCTTCCACAATTCACTGGGCATCGAAAATTTCGAGTATTTTATGTTTCACCAATAGACACATATTTGCCGAAGCAAACCTTTTGGAAGATGTTCGCACTGCAATTTGTAGGACAGTAAAAAGTCAAATTAGATTTAGATCTTATAAGGAGCTACACTAGCACTTTCCTACTCAATTAACATCTGGTCGTTTCCTTGATTTGTTTGAGAAACTGCTGTCAGTGCTTCGATTCCGATACCTCTGAAAGGATTCCCTTCGATAGATTTTTGCTCGAATTACCGAGAATAATTTTGGTCTACTCTATCAGTTCACGTCCCGGACAGACACGATGGTCAAAGCCGCACGCGGTTGCGGGGCGGTCTGGTTAGTCAGACCCGAGTAAACTTCAATTAAGTGTCTATTCAAATCATGCTGTGGGGCATATCCATTGTGCTAGTTAGAATGCTCCTGTCGTGGCAGTGCGGTAGAAGTTACGTTGGAAGTGTTGCCATGTGGCGGCATTCGCTCAAGGATCCACTCAGTTCAACAATGAAGTGGTATAGATCGAGTTAACTGGCTAGGAAATACTGGCTAGTGTGCACGCGTCACGACAGCATAGGCCTTCCAACTGACACCCAAGATCACTTCGTTCTAAATGTTTTCGAGTCGTAGGCTTTGAGGAAGACGGAGCGAGCAGGTGTCAGGAGGCATGGACGCGGAACGGGCACCCTTGGCGCGTTGTACCACTGGTTGTTTTCTACCTGAACCAGTCACTACTGGTGGAAAACGCGGCCGCTATGAGCTCTCCACGCCTCTTGATACCGCCTTACCTGATTGCGGGGTTATCCATCTGTGCTGAACTTGATGTTACTTCACCCATCCGGGATCTCCGCCCCTAGAGATCTGGGTCAAAGTCCCCATCGCTATAACGTTGATCTCAGTTTTGTGGAGGTCTTTTGAATGATCCCATCCTCGCGCTCTTAGCGCAGTTGCTAACCGAACCAATTTAGGCACTGATTTTATAGGAAGGAGACAGAATTTTCAGGTGCAGTCGCAAAAACCAGCTCTGTGAGGGTCACGCCCCGACCCGCAACCCTTGATGTTCTCCACGTGTTTCTTTGAGAAAACATTCTTAAAGAGCATCTCACCTGCGGATGAAATCCCTCTGCTCGTTGACCACGTTGCTCAGGCGCCGATGTAGGCGTGGGAGCAGAGACAGCAGTAGGAACAGGTACTGGAGCAGGCACAGGAGTAGGAACGGGAGCAGAAACAGGTGCAGGCACAGGAGCTGGTACAGGAGCAGGCACAGGTGCCGGAAACGATGCTCCCAGTGGATTCCCATCCATCATTGGTAAAAACGGTGGCAGCTGAGCTGCCAGTGGATGTTGCATTTGATGATGCAGTTGATGCATATGGAAGTGGTAGTCGTACATCATTTTCTGAGGTGGTGGCAGGAATGGTCCATAAAACGGTGGTGGCGTGGGGCGATCCGGAAACAGGATGCGGGCTGGGTTTAGGCGATTGGCGCGAGGGAAATAAGCGTACGAGGGTAGTAATAAGCGTGCGCTGGCATTTCACAATGCGCGTCTCAAGATTGGGTGTGTGGAGGCTTGGCTTACGCACAGCGTGTTGGAGCCACAGGTCTGTTGAGGTAGGCTAGGTGTGGCGGGGGGCAGTGTTCGGAGAGGGGGGGGGGAGCTGAGTTTCGCTCGGATGCCAACAAGTTTTTCATCGACTGTTGTTGCTTCCACCTCTCCAACGACTGGGGGAGAACGGGCTGGCGCCTCGCCGAACCCAGCCACCTTGACACGCCTCAGCAACGAACAACACTATATATTCGTTAGGGATATTCGGACTATTACATCCATGTCGCGGCGACGCTTACATCCATGTCGCGGCGACGCGGTGAAGGCGCTGCTGCAAGCGGAGTAGCGCAATCACAGGCATGGCGTTCGCAGTCCGACCTAATTCACCTAAAGAAAAAGAGTTGTTGTGCCTCGAGTCCTTAAGTTAGGAACGGTTTGAGTGCATCGGTACAAGGTGGATCAAGCGCCCGTACCCTAACCGTGGCACACCACAAAGTGCTAGTCCCACCCATCTCCGGACGAGTTGTCCCTGGCACAACACTCCTGCTGCTCTTGCAGTTTGGTCTCAGCTTGTCCCGTTCCTGGCTGCAGTTATTTTGTAACGTTACTTTTTCACAAGACTCCAACATGTCGTCTGTTCACGAGATTTTCAAGCATGTCCCGCGATAGAAAAAGGGAGTACGAGAGGCAGTGCCACTCAAATATTACTAACAGGTTGGTAAGTAACTCGATTCTGCAGCAAAAAAAGAGAACCTTTCTGTCTATATGGGACCCTTTGCCTACACGAGTTTGCACAAGGATACAGTGAAGAGAGGGAGCACTTAGAAGAGTTTCCACTTGTCCTTACCAAGGGCCTTTGGAAAAGAACGTTGAGACAGTGGGCGAAGCATTGCAGTCACTGCGATCGAGTGGCGTAGTTACCACGTATGTATTTGAGCGCGAAAACGGCACATCCGTGCGCTCGCAGACAGAACTACCTTTTCCGACGACAGCGCCAAAAGGACCCGGGTTGCGCCTTCAAGAGAGCATAGCTGAAACGAGCAGTCGCAGAGAACTCGTCGGAGTGGGCGGCAGCAGAGCAAAATTTTGATTTCAATATGACATCACAGTTGTTGTCTTTCACTCTATTTCTTTCGAATCAATATCGAACCTCGACTCAGGTCGGATGTAACTGGGCCAGTCTGTGCTGATGAAGAAGCGTCACTCCCGCGAATTGATGACGAAGTCTGTTGTCGACCGACAGCATTGGAAGACTCAGCGATTGAAGCGTCATGTTGTCTCTCATCTGATTCCTTGGACAATCTTGACTGCAGCGGTGGTGGTGGTGGAGGAGGTGGTGGCTGAAAATAACCGCTAAATGAAAACTTATCCTCTCGGATGGGTGCTATGCACTCTGTAGCATCATGCAGTCGTTATCTTAGCGTGGAGGGAAAGCGTCCATTGACTCCTTTGTGAGCGCAGTAACGGTTGCCAGCCTGTGGGTAGCTGTCCGTTCAGGCACTAAGGAGTACAGTTCTGTTCGCTGCGGATGCTGGGGTGGCTTAGCAAGGCTGGATTTGGCGTGAACGCCTGTCCGTTCGCTACACTTGTCGTCGCTTGCTGCAATAATTGGTGGAGAACAGGTTGGCGCCTAACCCAATTCCCTCCTTCTGGAAGCCCAGCGTCCACAGCGATGAAGAATGTGAAAGGAATTGGTGGTCCGCAATCTCTTAAAGACAGGGCTCCTGATTGCCAGACTACTTTGAGTCTACCCACACACCGGTCTACCCACACGCAGGCAATCTAGTCTTCAGGTGGTCGCAATAGGTGCCTCCGCATTTCTTCCCGAAACGGCAACTCTTTGCCACCACTGCGTTCCCAACTAGGGTAAGCCAATGAACATCTCTCCAACGTCGAGACATGAGCTGTACAGAGAGGGCCTAATGTCGCCTTGTGTTCATTGAAACACCCGCTGAGGATGTGCAGTAGCTAGAATACTTCGAATTTTTGTAATTGCTTCAGTATCGGAGAAGAATTCTTCAAGAACTCACAAAAAACCCTTGGAAGTTGTAAAGATTCCTTTGTGAGAACTGATCAGACGTGTTCGTTCGTTTTTCTTCTTGTTCTCGTTTCAGTGCCTGAAGAATGCCTTATTCTGTAAACTTCTTGCCAGAAGTCGTCATTCGTTTCTTGGGGTAAAAAATTGTTAAAAATGGGAGTACTTGATATCATTTCACTCAAGTAGGCTATGAAATATCGTCCTATTCCTCTCGAAGGTTCCGGCACTTACTTTAGGGGCCTGAGCAGTCGGGGAGAGATAGGGTGGGGGGCAGCGATTGAGACAAAGCAGCATCCGTTCTCTTGTTATCGCGTCGATGTGGCCTAGTCTCGCTTTTGACTCCATCTGCCTCCAACTGCCTAAGACCCTATTGTTCTACGCTTTCATTCTACCCGGCGCATCTGATGTCGCCATCTGCAAAATACGATTTCCTCAAAAGTTTATCGGGGCATGTGGGAGGGGATATATAGTGCACTAGGAAGAGAAAAAAAATCGAAAAATTCTTCAACAACTGAAAACATTTGTCCCAGAGGCGACGACCTCCTCCCTTCAGCGACCAAAGATCGCCCTTTCTGGAGGTTTCCAGTGTACGACGTTCTGCGAAAGAATGCCTTCTCCTAATCTCAGCTTAGAAATGAATGAGTCCTCGACTCAACGCACCTCCAGCTTTGCCGTCAATTCTTCAGCGATTTGTCGTACGGAGTCACATGAGGTCTTCAAGGAGTTTCGGACGGCTTCAATCTCATTTGTATGCCTCAGTGATGTTTGGCGCAAAGAATGGCACTGGTCTCCGATACGGGACAGTTCAGCGCGAACAGTAAGCAGAGTGTCATTAGTGGCGTTGAGCTTCTCATCACATTTCTTCGCATAGTCTCTCAATACACTGGCCATTTTGTCCTTGTCGTGTTCGGACCTCCCACTCACTTCGGTTTCTATTCGGCTGACCATTTGCATTACCTGCTGCACGTCTTTCTGTTCGCTGATTATTCTGAAATACGCCTAGTCACTTTTTCATGGGCAGCAAAGCTCTGGACAACTGGCTCACCTCTGAAGGCCGCAAGCTATTTTGATTTTTTGTTGGTCCTCACATGACGACAACAGCGAGGTTAGCTGAAACCGGGAATACACAATCTTTTCCCCTGCATTTAGACAATACGGTTCCACATCAATTTTATACAATCCCCGCCCTGTTCGGGTTTAAATTAGCAGATGCGAGCTGGGGTTACGAGGGGCAGGGCGACGGTGCTCCGTGCGCGGTATCCGCTCAAAGGGAAATTGCAAAAGGAACATGTGAAAGTACAAAATGTGACCCCCCCCCACTTTTCCACCCAAGCTCAACGGCTCCATTGCACTATAACTTCAACATGAGCTTTCACTTTCCCCGCATTACCGGTAACATACGCTACGAGTATAACCATCCGAAACATGTTATCACAGAAAGAATAACCGGAGAATCACCTCCTGCGAAAGCGACTTGAATTTCTGATGTCGTAGTCTCTCTTTGCTTTTTCTTCGCGTTGAAGTGAGCGGTTCTTCGTCATTGCGCTGCCGTGTCTGTTGTGATAGAGGTGTGGCGCAAGTAGACGGAGACTGAGACTCATCGTCTCTGATTGGGTTTCCGGTGAGGAACCTTTGTTGGTCTGTATTGTAGTCGTCGACGATAGATAGTGGAGGTGTCATGTCGCCATCCGAGAACGAGTTCTCCGACAGCGATGGCAGAATGCTGCATAGCTTCGGAGCATGATTGGTGTCACTTGAGGACTCTGCTGTTGGCGCGGTAGTGTCTCGTTGTTTGTCCTTATTCACTGTAACCAGTTTAGGTTTTGTTGAAGTATAACTTTTTTGAGGTCACGTCGCATCGTCAGGCATCTCTCGAGGTGTCAAATACCATTCAGTTCGTCTTTTGAACAGGGATTTCAGCTAGCTTTAGTTTTCCATTCATAGACTTGCTGACGTTCTAACGACGACTGGACTGGAATGGCTGTGCAAGTGGAACGCGATCGCGGGTTATATTATTGGTCAGACGAGGTCTAGACAACGACTGTAAACCTCCATTGTTACAAGATTTTGGATCCTTGCACATCCGTTTTTCATGCCATTTTCGTACAACAGAATCTCGCTGAATAAAAAAACGAACTTCCCCCCAAAACATTTATGATATCTCGGAAGTCTGCGCAGATCCGAAAAAGAGTGAGGATCCCCGAGAAACAGATATGTAGAGGAATATCGTACCTCGGTCATCGGGCGCAGTTTACAAGGTTAGGGCTGGCCGGTTCGTCAATAACGGGCTCGCCAGCGGCGTGCAGAGGAACTATGATGTGATTTCCAGTGCTAAATTTTAGTACAATTTTTTCAACTTTTCACTGTTTTGGCTACTTTTTCCCAGATTAGCAGCTCCTTATCTTCACAAGGTGGAAAAAAATGACTAAATTAGCCTGGAAAAAGCAAATAGTTCCTGGCACGCGCTGCGGCCCGTTGACGACCGCCCTAATCAACTGCCCGGATGACGAGATTATGTAGTCTTCTCAGCTACGCTTGGGCGTGTCACAGGAGGGGCTGGGTTTGACGCGACGCCAGCTTCTCCACCTATTGTGAAAGCTTGTAGGAGAGCATAATTGGTGGAAATCATGCTGGCGCTGCACAAACTTAGCCCTCAACTGAAATACCTCAGCGTCCACAGCGAACAAGACTCTAGCTTATGTGCTATGCCAATCTGCCCTCTGTGAAATGCGTGTCCTCAGATGAATCAATGTGGAACTCACCGAATAGTGTCCACCGAGCGAAACCGACGCTTGTGCTCCATTCGGTCTCGGCTTGTTGACGCTCTGAATTTCGAGGGATTATTTTATTTGAAATTTCAGACTTCCTGTTAAAAAGCTGGACCTATTATCTGGCCGGGGTTGGGTGTAATCGCTGTTGGATAGACCTGATTCAAGATTACTTCTAATAATCGAAACCTTTCGTGAGGGTGTGAACCGCGATGGACAATCGTGTACCAGATTCGTTTCAGAAACACCTAAGGAAGAGGCTTCAAGGAGCAGGATTGATCAAGTGGCTGCTCATGTGCGCGACATGATTCTGCTCGCAGTGCGGTGTCTGTCATCTCGCTCGTTTGCATCGATTCTGTCTGGGCCCCATGCCCACAATCCTGCCCAACCTTCCTCCGTTGCCTGCTCGAAATGACAAAGTCCTTATTCAGGGCATTTTCGACGGTTGCCTTGGTTTTATTTCTCCACGGATATAAAGCACATATCAAACAGGACATGCTCTAGTTGGTTAGGACTAATTAACGGGGTGCAGAACTCACAGCGACACCAGCCCGTTTTTCATTGATCGTTGCGAGTTCCGGCGTTCAATGGGTGATGGGAAACGCCGCGCCGAAAACCACGCCCATCTGACACGCCCTTAGCGACTTCAGTGGTCATTACTGTATAGGTGAATTCAAATCCGCTTGAGCTTACGTCGCGTTCCTGCCTCTAGAACTCTCCCTGTCTTCTTCGATCCTTCATTATCTTATCCGTCAACGACCTTATGACTTTTTATACCAACTTTATGAATGTACACCTTTGTCTACATCACCCCCTGGTATAGATCCTTCTACGGACTCATCGTATATGCAAAGTATTTACCTACCCCTTTCGGACGTCCTCTCTTCCTAGGTGGTGCATTTGGATCAGCTGGAACTGCTGGTCGTTTTGGCTTCATTGGCAAAGCTTCGGCCATAGTCAGTTTCACGGCTTCGCTGAAAACATTCCATATACTTCTCTCCCCAAATTAGACGCGTCTAATTAAGCCTATGGGACCTTTCCTCCGGAGGCGGGGTTTTTAAACCCAGCGCTGCTGACACCAAGTTCGTATCGCCGGCGCCGATCGATTTTTTTCTGCGAACGCTCGATCGATGCGTGCCTGCCGCTTGCGTTTCGAGTGAGTATAGGAGAATAGGATGGTGTGTGTCGCCTAGTCACGCAGACTGGTATCGATCGGTTTAGGCGCGTGAATGCGCGTCACCGCGGAGGCTGAACGCTGCTCTTCTACTGCTTCACACGTCCATAATGTCTCGCGACAAATATATCGCATTTTATCTTAAGAAATTACATTTTTCTAGCGTTGGCTGCGGTGATACGTTCATGTTGTTCAGCAGACAGACCGGACATACGGCTGATTCTTGCT